GGATAGCCCTTGGCCAGCCATGACTTGGGTCCCTCAAGGGTAGGATAACCCTTGGCCAACCGTGCTTTGAGTCCCTCAAGGGTAACGTTCTCCACTCTCGTGTGCCCCGTTCTATAACGTGACTGTGGTGTCAGCAGCCTCCACCTCGGTGCCCGTCAAAGGCATTTATGTATCTGATTCCCCCAGTGGCTTTTCAAGTGAGTCTCTGGGCTGGTTTTTCCAAGGGTTTGAAGTGTCTGTGGCCGAAGGCTGATACCCAGTGATGCTTTCAAATAACGTTCGGTTGCACGAATCTTATGGGTGATGGCGAAAATTCATACACGTGTATATTCCACGTTGGAAGCTTAAACATAGTATAATATTGGACCGCTGCCATGCTTAGAAGGCATTGAAGTGTATTTCATTTATTGATGATTTGCAGGAACTAAGCACTAGGAAAATATATTTTTTTCCCTTAAATTTCCTACAGGTAACTAAAATGTATATTTGATCATCAAGACCCAGAAGCTACCTGCAGGTTGGCTTTCAGCTGAGCTTCCTACTTCAGAGCCAGAGCGCTTGTGCACAGAATGGAACATTATGGTGTTCTCGGTTGAAGTAGCAGCTGTTGTCTTAAAAATACATTTTCCTAGCGTGAATTTGGTCAGTGCCCCTTCCCTCCCCCACCCCAAATGTACTGTGGGCAAAGATGTGGGCAAAGATGCTGCACCTCTTAAAGTGCACTTCATCAACAGCAACGCTTTAACTGTTGTTGCTCAAGAAAGCATCGGAGCCTCTTCCTCCTTTTAGTTGCCCCTTAGTTCAAAATGATCAAGTACAATGAACTCAGCCTGATCAGCCAGACTCTTCCCAGTGGTGCCCAGTGCCAGGACAAGGGGCCATGGGCACAACCTGAAGCAGAAGAGGTTCCAGTTGAACGGGAGGAAGAACTTGTTGACTTGGAGGGTGCCCAAGCCCTGGCCCAGGCTGCCCAGGGGGGCTGTGGAGTCTCCTTCTCTGGAGATATTCAACCCCCACCTGGACGCAGTCCTGTGCCCCCTGCTCTGGGTGAGCCTGCTTGAGCAGGGGGGTGGGACTGGGTGAGCTCCCGAGGGCCCTTCCAACCCCGGCCATGCTGGGATTCTGGGATTCTGTGATTTGCCTACCAAGTTAAGTAAAAAAAACCCCATTTTAACAAGTCACTGTTGTCCCTGCCTGCATTTCTTTGCCGTTTGTCTGACTGCAGTCATCATTACCACATCTAGCGCCCGAAGCGTTCTTTCCGTCCTCTGCAGGTTCAGCAACCCCTCTGGCCATCTGAAAAGCACAAGGAAGGAGCTTGGATGTCCTTGTTCTCTAGCTCATTCCGCTCTGGTGCTCAAATTCTTGGTGGTACCTGGTTGTCTCAGGCTCTGGGAGGGACATTTTGCAGGAATCCACCCTTGAAGAAGGCACTCCCATCCCAACTGGTGCTCTTAGGGAAGGAACTGAGCACCTCCTTTCTGGATAAAAAAGAAATGCTGACCGTTGTTAAATGCTAATGTGTGGTATTTTTGCTCTACATTGGGAAACTGCCTCTTGGAAAGCCACCAGCAATTTTCCACTTAAGAAGGAGATTCGGGTTGTGCTCGGGGGAATTGTGAAAGCCTCATTCTAGTTGTTTTTCGCCAAAATGCTCGCCTGACATTGGGTGTCAGGGCAGAAGATTCAGATCCAGGCAAACTGCGAAATCATGAAGAACAGATAGAAAGGTGGGAGGAGGGGAGAACATGACTACATCACTATAAAACATATTTTTCCAGATGCCATAGAGATATGAGAGTCCACTTACTCACTGAGACCTGTTTCAGTGCTCCTGCTCTTTTATTCTCTTCTGCATTGCAAAGCGTATTTCTGGGTGGAGTCAACAATTTGGCAAAAATCTGTTAACCGCACCAAGCTGATGAAGACAGTAAATTTGTTTCCTCTTCACGCCCTTGTAGACCCAGCCCACCTCCAGAAACAGATAAAAGGGAATGCCTGGAGCTGTGGAGCCAGAGAAGACTGTGCGGACTTCTCTCTGCACTCATTCCTCAGCAGCACAGCTCCGTTGGTCTTTCTGCTCTCCTCAACTCTGTTTGGAAGAAACAGCCATGTCTCGGCAGTCAATCTGTAGAAGCTTTGGAGGTGGAAGCAAAAGGGGATACAGCTCTTGCTCTGCCATCGGTGGTGGCTTTGGAGGAAGTGGGGGCAGAAGCAGGATCAGCTATAGCTCGTTCTCCACATCCAGGGGAGTTGGAGGCAGCGGACGTTGTGGAGGTTTTAGCAGCAGGAGCCTCCATAACCTGGGTGGCAGCGGAAGAATTTCCATGGGTGGCTCTTATGGCGGTGGATACGGATGTAGAATTGGTGGCTTTGGTGGAGGCTATGGAGGAGGATTTGGCAGCATTGGAGGAGGTGTCATTGGTGGAGGAATAGGCAGCTTTGGTGGTCCTGTGAGAGGTGGTCCTGGGTTCCCTGGAGGCATCCAACCAGTGCAGGTTGACCCAACCCTCCTGCGGCCGGTCCGTGTTGATATTGATCCTCAGATCCAACAAGTGAAGTGCCAGGAGAAGGAACAGATCAAGACTCTTAACAATCAGTTTGCCTCTTTCATTGACAAGGTGAGAGGCTGGGACTGTGTGTGCTTGGGAACGGGGACTCTGAGGAACTTTGCTGTGCTGTGGAGAGGGACGTATTGTCCTTCTCAGCTCAGTGTGGGCAGGTCTGGACGGCTGGTAGTCTTTTCACTGAGTCCTAAGGAAATGTAGAAATTTTATATCTGCAGAGAAACCAAATGGCTTTCTCTAGGTTTGGTTGATCCAAAGCCTTCCTTAGCTTTTCTTGCCAGTGTCCTCTCTGCAGTCAGGCCAAAGCGGTCAGGATATGCTCAGTTATCCTAAGCCATTCTTTAAGTCTGTCCTCATCTCTTTTTGAGGAACTTAGAATGTTGGAATGAGCTTTCCATTAATGTCTGCCTGTTCCTTATTTCGGTTCCAGCACAGCTGAGCATTCTTTAGACCGTCTGCACTGGGAGAACACTGGCTACAAACACGCTGCAGGTTTTTAAATATATGATGCACATAGTCGGTGCTTTTTGTAGCTGCTAAGAGGAATGTTCTCCGATATTGAGGCATATGGGATTTCATTGACTTGGAAGATATAAATGATGTGATGCTTCTGAAGCTTAATGTGGGTCAAAATTTGCAATTGGAAATGACAATAAACTGTACATCTGGAATGTAATCATTCCAACAGATAATACAAAAAAGCAGAAATGCAGGAGGAGGAAAGAGGAATAATTGAATTATCATTGAAAATAGAGAAGAATGAAGGGAGGACAATCTTCCTCTTGGAAAATTGGTTTTCAACTCGCCAAAGTCCTGTTGAGGATTTGGGAAATGAATGCCTTGGCCTCCCAAGTAAGCAGGAGGCTTGAGCAGTGTGATGTCTCCCGGGGTGCCTCACACACCCCTTTGTGGGCTTTCAGGTCCGCTTCCTGGAGCAACAGAACAAGGTCCTCTCCACCAAGTGGGAGCTCCTCCAACAGCAAGGGCCTTCGGGGCCAAGGAAGAACCTCGATGTCATCTTTGAAAATTACATCCAGAACCTGAGGAGGAGGCTAGAGTCTCTCCTGGGACAGAGGGGGCAGCTGGAGTCAGAGCTGCAGACCATGCGGCAATACGTGGAGGAGTACAAAACCAAGTAAGTGCCGTGACAGAGGCAGAAGCGAGCACCAGGACAGGGGCGCAAAGCCAGGTTGGAGGCTTCCACACTGCCTTCCCTCTGCAGAAATGGGGCCAAGGTTGCCATGGAGGGCAAGGGGGTTCCCCGGGTTGACTGCTGAGCAGTCCAAGAGACTCATCTTGTCTTGTCCCCTTCAACAGGTATGAAGATGAAATCAACAGACGGACCGCTGCTGAGAACGAGTTTGTGGTGCTCAAGAAGGTGAGTGGCAGAGGCAGCAGGAGCAAGGGGGCGTGGGGACACAGGCTGCAAAGACTCTGGAAGCAGGGGCAGCACCAGCATGGGCAGCTTCCAACAGGTGGCCTTGGATGCCACCAGCTCTTCTGGGATGGGAGGAAGCTGTTGTCTACCCGTGTGGTCTTTCTTGTAGGACGTGGACTGTGCCTACATGACTAAAGTAGAGCTGGAAGCCAAGGTGGGAGCTCTGACTGACGAGATCAACTTCCTGAGGTGCATCGGGGGGGTTGGGAGGCACTCAGGGCACCTGGTACAGTCTCTGCTGCTGGCCGCCTCCCTTGCCACAGAGCAAGGGAATGGCCAAAGTTCTTGCTGGGTTGTGTCACTGATGGGTTCCTCTGTCTCCATGCCATCAGTATGAAGAGCTGCAGAACACTGCTGGAAGGCACGGCGACAGCCTCCGCAACACCAAGATAGAGATCCAGGAGTTGACCAGGAACGTCCAGAGGCTGCGGGCTGAGATTGAGAACGTGAAGAAGCAGGTAGGGGTTCTTCAGCATCTTGTTGCGTGATGGCTTGAGGCTGGGTCATAGCCAAGCCGGGTACTGTGCTCAGGATAGCGTGAGGGTCATGTAGTCATTGAAACTGAGGTCCTTTGGAGGAGGTTGATGGTTCCTGCCTATCTTCCATCCACTCTGTGTCTGGGGGACAGGTCCAGTGGGGGGTGTGCG